GCATTGTCGATTTACCTCTGATTGTCAGACTCTCATTTCAAGCACTCATGATTCAGTTATACAGGTTTGGAAGATACTTAAAAAGATTATGTTGTAACTTACAATGTGAACTCAGTAAATTACTACTGTATTCTGTATTGCTCCATCTCGGGGCAAGGGACTGTAGAAACTGGAGCCTCTGTTTATACCTTATGTGATAATGAATATTACACAATTTCTATTTTTAATACTGTGGTTCATAGAAAGGCACCAATTCCTTTAAGATGGGTGAAAGGAACATTAATTTTCAAACAAGATAACTCAACATTTCTTCACGTAAGTAAAGGGTTTGGGATGCGACCCAGAACTGGCTATATACGGTAGGTCTGTCAGTGGGCTTGCTTACACTGTCTGAAGGAATGAGGTAAAAAGACCTGTCTCTGAGCGGGCTGGTGTGTCCACCTAGCGCAGTACAGTGCTGAATACAGATACTAGCTAGAAATAGAATGGCTGCACTAGTGTAGTCTCAAATTAATAAGCTCTGCCTCTCAGCAAGGTAGATTGGCTCCGGAGAAGCATTCTGGTGTGTCTATATTAACCCTTTAGCTCACCTCAGGGGTGCGATTTTGAAGTGAATATCCTGGTTGTTTATGCTTACTGTGCTTTAGTTTGCACTGCAGAGCAGTTGCAGGCATGCTGACAGGATTCCTAAACTAGAGGACATCCTCCAGCTGCTAATAAGCATTCGGTCCACACAACCAAACTTGAGCTGGTTTGAAGTAAAACCTCCAAAACACATGTGGGTGCTAGTCCTCAGCACTTTTGCTCACCGAATCTGTTCCAACTTCAGTGTTCTACCTACTTGCTGGTATACACGTAACCTATGCTACATCGTACTTTGGTGTTTGTTTTGCTCTAACTCTGCATTGAACTTGTGGGTCTGAAGCTAGCCTGAGCGCCATCACTGTGGTCAATTAAGCAGTACAGACAGCTCACTAGTTTATCGGCTTTTGGATCCTTCTTTCAGATCTACCGTGGGTACTTTTTCTTCTGGGTCCTCAGCTCCCTCTAGCGGATAGTGCCTCAGTTAAGCCTCCAGGATTGTCATCTAAACACCTCTGCTTTCTGTTTGTTCTTTGATGCCGAAAAGCTATTAGTTTGAAAACTATTAAATCATTGTCGTTTAAATTGATGATTAGTAGCTTCTGTAAAATAAAATTACATTTCTTCAGTTTTCAGTGAATAATTGAATTAAAAATAGAAGTGTTATTTTGTTATAAAAATGCAAACAAAAATGGCATTTCATTAAAAATACACTTTAAAAATATAAAAGAAAGTTAATTTAAGCATGGAAAATACGAGGTCTGCCAGATGACGGAAGTCTATTTGTTGCAATAATCAACGATTTAAAACCCAAAACTTCTGGGGTGCCTAGAAAATTACTGTTTTGCTTTTTCTTTTTAAATTACCAGTGAATTTTAAGCATCAAATTCACTTTGAAAATCAGATTATGTATGTATTATAGGGAACTCTCTCATAGGTTGACTATTAAATACTATGGCATCCTCAATCTTCAGCATCTCTATTATGGATATCTTCAATAGCTAACCTTTTAGTTAGTTGCCACCTCCATAAGAACTTTTTATTATTCCTGTGACTTAAAAATTAATCAGTTAGTTCATTATTCTTAACTTATGTTTGCCATTAAAATTTTTTTTTTTAAATGTATTCCATCTTTGTGATTAGGTATGGAATTGGCAGTTGAGCGAATGTGTGTTTCTAAGAGGGCACAAGGAAGCAATCAAGGATTTTAGACTTCTGGAAAATTCAAAACTTTTTTCTTGGTCATTTGATGGAACCGTTAAGGTAAATAAAAGGCTGTGTATTGACAAATTGCATAAAATACATTTCACTGTCTTTTCCAACATTTAGTATTTCCTGCACTTTGTGTTGACGCACATTTTATTGAATTCATCCTAAAGTGTAAGCTGACTTTTAAGACACAATTTTGCATTTTCTATTTCTAGTAAGATTTACACTCTTGTTGTATTTTAACTATACCAGTAAGTATAGCAAAATGTTGGCTATATTAGAACCATGTAGCTGAGTTTTATCTCGTATATATCTTGTCGTATAAAATGCAGGTTTTTTAACCTTTTTACAGTGTTACAAAAGTAACCTGTTTTTCCTGTATATTTGGTAGGTTTGGAATATCACTACTGGAAACACAGAAAAAGATTTTGCTTGCCATGGAGGTGCTGTTCTTTCCTGTGCTATTTCACCTGATGGTAGTAAATTTTCATCTACTTCTGCTGACAAAACTGCAAAGGTTGGTTGCTTTCTGTACAAAGATAAAAATGATGCTTTATTTGTCCTGAAGTGTATGCTATATTTTTTATTACGAGGTAACTAGTGATATTTAAGTTATCCTGTTTTATTTCTAGTATTAAATTTCCTGTACCTGTGAACATGTTTCTAAAGCTGTTACAGTAATTCACAATTGATCTTGGATATAACTTGAGGCTGTCCTGGTGACTTCTGTAAAAATAAAATGCACAAGTTTCTGCAGAACACTTTGTTTAGTTCTCTATATTGGTTTGTTAATAGCCTAACATTCTTAATTTGGAAACCTAAGTTAAGAAAAATTTCTGGAAGTTCCAATGAAAGTGCTGTCCATAATTTCTGGTATTCCTGTTCAGAAGCAAGGTGCAAAAAGAGGTGAACTGTTTAATATTGTGAGGTTGCCCCATTAGATATTTAAAGTGTCCCATTAGATTTTTAAAATACAGCTTTAACTTGATTGATGAACTCTTTTTCTATGAACAGCTTTAAACTTTCTTTTAAATGAATCAGTTCCATTAAGGAGTATATTCCAAGGAAAAAAATGTACTTGCAGTTGGTTCAGTAATTTGTAGCAAATGCGTTCTTGTTCAGATAAGAAAAACAGAATACAGTATAATACATACATAAATGCAAACACATATATGCATATATACAAAAAGTCTTAGTACTTTTGAATACTAGTGCCTTTTTAGAAAGAAGTCATAATTGTTTTTGAACTTACCTTTTTCCCTCTTCTGTAACGTTTTCCATTTAGATATGGAGCTTTGAAAGTTCATCTGTTCTTCATGAGCTGACAGGTCATGAAGCCTGTGTGCGGTGCTGTACTTTCTCTCCTAATAACAAATTGTTGGCCACTGGAGATGACAAAGGAGAAATAAGGGTACTGTTTTAACCTTGCTGTTTATTTTATAATTCAATTGATAGTCAGTTCACAGACAGAGAGTTCTCAGAGTTTGTGTTCTGCATGTCTAATTCGTTAGCATTGTGGTGAACATCAGGGAGTTGAAAATAGCAAAGTTTGCCACGTGAGACAGTAGTTTGTAACCAAATTGATAGATTTATGTTCCATGAATGCTGAGGAACTGATTCACATGATTTACTAATAATTCTACTGTGAATTGCACATGTGATTAAATCCTCCATATATGATACAGTTCCAAGAGGAGAATTCATTTTTTGGATTATTCTGTCACTTTGAGTAGAATGCTTATTTACAAGGGTTTTTTTTCTGTAATACAGAAAAATACCTTTCAGCTTTCCTTATAGGAGATTTTTTCCCCCATTAAGTTTACTTATATACAGAATCTTCTCTCTCTTTTAGATTTGGGACATTTTAACAGGTGCATTACTTCACTTCTGCTCCCCAGTTACTGTGGACGAAGGAGAGCCAACACATGGTGGTTGGGTAACAGACCTCTCATTTTCTCCTGACAGTAAAATGCTTGTGTCATCTGGAGGCTATCTTAAGGTAAGCCTTGAAATAATAAAATATCTTAACATACCTAATTAAATGGCAATACTCTGATAATTCTAAAGGAAAATGCAGACTAATTCAAAGAAACAAACCTGAAACATTTTACTTAACACCAAGCTGCTCCATTTTCATGCCTGTCTAGTACTTTTCACTTCTTTTCTTCTCAAATCTGAAAGCCCCCTGAAAAGGTCTCTTAAGAATTCAGACTTTAGACTTGGAGTTTGTTTTTAAAGTCCATATATTCCGTTTTTATTAGCTTCAGATTTTTATTAGCAATGTCCTTCATTAACATCTTTAATATTAAAGATCCCAGTGATTTTTGTCTGCCTTAATATCCACTCAATTTCAGCAGCAATTGTGTTCTTTATAATGAGCAGAAAAATGCTCTATGTTAGGCTTTTATTTTTTTTAAAGATACTGAGTTTTAAATTTTTGCATGAATAGAAATTCAGAAGGAATGGCAAGTGATAATTTTCTGCCTTGAAAAACATTCTATAAGTAATCTTTGGAAGAGGGCATGTTGAAACTGAGGAAATCAGTCTTTTCATCAGTCTTTCATTGGTTCAGACATCTACTGGGCATATGTTTTTGGGAGGGGGAAGAGGTGGTCTTTCTTTCAGTCTGTGAATTGGTTCTTCATAATTGTAAATTTCTCATGAGTGAGTTTTTGTTTTTTTGTTTTCCTCATGCGATAGCTAATACCTGTTAGTAGAAACTGTGTGTGTATGTGAAATGACAGGTTGTGGAGTTCTCATCTCTCAGAGTGCTGGAGGTTAGTTGATTGTTGGTCAGTGTTTAGCTGTTGGACATGCTACCAGACTAATTCTTTGAAGTCAGTTAGTAACCAGTTAACAAAGACCATTGAATTTTCTAATTTAGCATTGAAAATATCTTCTGACGTTCATTTCATATTAAAGAACAAGACATGCATCCTGTTTCTAGCTTCCTTCCCATTTTGTCTTGTGGTTACACAGTATGGTGTTGTGATGCTTCTTAGAGTCATAGAATGGTTTAGGATGTTAGGGACTTCTGGAACTCATCTAGTCCAGCCCCTTGCTAGAAGTAGTTTGCAGAGTTAGGTGAAGTTGCTTAGGGCCTTGCCCCATCAGGTTTTGTCCCCCACTCCAACAGGGGTGCCTCTAGGCCCTGAGAGGAGAGTCTGACTCTGTCATCTGTAACCCTCTTTTTGGTAGTTGAAGGCAGAAGTTAGCCACCTTCTCTTCAGGCTAAACAAATTCAGTGCTCTGTCTCTCCTCTATGGCATCTGTTCTAGGTGTCCAGCCATCTCAATGACCATGTGCTGGACTTGCTCCAGTTTGTCAGTGTCTTTCTTGTACAAGGGTGGGGCTCAACACACAGTGACTGAACTGCTGACCTACTTTTTGAATCTAGCAGTCCACCCAGTTTGTCACCTACCTTGTATTCCACCCATCCAGTCTTTACCTCTCCAGTTTGACTATAGGGACACTACGGGAGACCATGTTGAAGGCTTGGCTAAAGTCAAGGTTAATCACATCCACTGCTCTTGCCATGCTGTTTGCAGAGCCACCATTATTGTCAATAGAAGTCAATTGGGTGGTTCAGCATGATTTACCTTTGGTAAATCTGTGCTAGTTGTTCATGGTCACCTTCTTACGCTTAACATGACTTGAAATGGCTTCCAGAAAACTTGTTCCATAATAATCCCAGACACCGGAGTGAAGATTACTGGCCTGTAGTTCCCGGCATCTTCTTTGCCCCTTGTGAAAATGGGTGTGGCATTTTCCTTTTTCCAGTTATTGGGACCAGATTCAATCACCATGTCTTCTCAAAGTATTGTATTTCTACTTTTCTTTCAAGATCTACAGATGGATGTGTATGATGTACATGGAAGCACACACACACGCACCCTTTTTGCAGGGAGATACTAGTCAGTGAAAGTCTAAAACATTTCAGAAGTTTGGACCTCTAAAAACTGGACTGAGTTGGATTGTAGAGTTACATGGAAGATACCTTTAAACCAATGAGTCATCTTATTCATAGATGAGGTGCATCCAGCTATGTGCTGTTGAACTTGCTGTGTGAGTGGTACCCACTGGTACCCCAGCACCCCATACCAGTGGTGGATCATTTATCCACCAACAAAGGTTCAAGAGCTAATTAAGATCCCTTTTTTCCTTCCCCCCCCCGCCCCGGATCTCCATCAAATAACAGACATTTTAGGAAAGGTGTTTTTAATCAGAACATTATAGTTGTGTAGTTGCAAATCTGTATTATGCACACAACTGTAATGTTACATATTTCATGAGATGAGTAAGCTAAAAAGTAGTAATACCACCTGCTTTTATAGATGATCAAAGCTGAAAGTAATCTGTTTCGATATTTTGCTACTGCATTCAAATGTTGCAAGAATAGAGCATAGACTTCTTATTGGAACAATCAAGTAACAGCTTTGTGCTGGGTTGCATTTGGTTCAATTTTGCATTGGTCTACAGTTTTTCTGAGAAATGTGAAATTTCAGTCTACAGTAATGGAGTAAACTGATGGTCAAAGGTTTCTTTGTATCTTTGTTATTAGTGCTTACTGTGTATTCTAAAAACAAAAACAAAACCAAAGTTCTAACTTCACTGAAAAAAAATCTGTCCTGCTAACACAACTGCAAATGGTTTCAACGGTGTACATGATTGATCCTCTTGTGAGTCCTAAGTTTTTAAATCCAGCTATGGTTTCAATTATATTGTCTGGCAATGTGTTTCATGTATACATTTGGTTATATAAAAATACATAATCTTTTAAATTTTGGACATGTTACAGTTAACGTCTATTCATTGCATGTGGTAGGATAAGGAGCAGTACCTGAATTTATTATTTTGTATGCTTTCCTGAAATTGAACAGCTTCAGTCTTTTTGAAGTTTCTTTTCATCTGAAAGTCTTGTATCTCTAGTAACTGGTCCTAAACATTTTCTACTTAAGATTGCTTGTATTTTTATTTTTAATTCTACCTCTTTGGGGAAAACTGTCAACTGGGCTTGCCATGCTAAACCTGTTCATAGAATTTATTCTAAGCTTCCATCAACTAACTGAAAGTGTGTTGTTATTTTTTATAGTGGTGGAATGTAACTACTGGAGAATCCTTACAAACCTTCTACACAAACGGAACAAACCTCAAGTCAATACACGTATCCCCTAATTTCAAAGTGTATGTGACTGTTGATAATCTTGGTATTCTTTATGTATTACAGAAGTTGTGATTAATGTGCTGAACACTGCAAAGATAATTCATTTTTTTGAGCTGGAAACAAAATTTTGCTAGATGTTTGACACTCATTAAGCTGTGAATTATATTTCATTGTTGTATTCATGATGTTTTCATGTGTATTTATGTACATTTATGCATGTTTTTGCAAATGAACTTGCATTTAATTTTGTTTTTAATAAGAGTTATTACAATCCTTAAGTCTTGATTTGCATCTTAAGTATGTTGCTTCCAATTTTGTAAGGAAATTATATTAAGATCTATTCAAATTAGTTGAAATTAATATTAATAGCAGTGAAGAAATAATAGGAATATAATATTTTGAAATTGTATTTTGTGCTAAGGGTGATGGCTAAATGCTCTCTAGCCATGAACACAACTGTGCAAGATGCAAAAATTTTTTGTTTTTGCTTTGATGCGAAGATTTTCATTTAGTACAGAATGGAAAGAATCAGGGACATCGTTTGAAAAATGAAACTAGCTATCTTGGTGCTTGATGTTCAAAACAAACCAAGTAGCTTTCAGTTTACAGCAGCAATGCTTCCTGCTTCCAGTAAGAACCTTCCCGCTTCTAACCTTGTGGAGATGAAGTGCGTAAGTAATACATATGAGCTATTCTTGTTAAGGGGAACATCCTGAGTCTTGTTTTCTCAAGGCAAGAACTGAAAGGATATTGCAATTGAAGTGGAAGAGATTGTGCCACATTTCCAGTCAAAGGATGAGTAGAGCTAACCAGCTAAACTGAGAATGGAAATAGTTTAAAAGCTGTATGTTGGAAAATATAAGAAGGTGTGAATTTTAGTTATTTTTCCTTTTGGAATTAACATTCAGTTTATACTATGGAGACATTTTATTGTCATCAGCTTTGTTTACATGGGATTCTATGCACAGGGATCCCTTGCCTGGTAATATGTGATTTTCTGTTTGGTTTTGGGGGTTTTTTACAATATATTTATAGATTCAATATAAGGTTGAAAAATTTTGATGTTTTGTACTAATTATACTTGACATATCTTTTGTGAATAATTAGATAACAATTTTTCTTAGGTACCTAATCAGTCTTGTTCTAGTAAATTGCCTCTCAACTGCTATGAGTAACTGCACGAGCCATTAGTATCATGGTTTTCATATTTTTGTAGTTGGCAGTAGAACACTCCATCTAAGTACTTAATTGTAAGAAGTACATTAGCAAGTGTCTCAACTGATACTGAATAATGAAATCTCACTTTTAGTATTTTTTGTGTGCATTTCAGAAGATTTAATGTACATTCTTAGTATTTTCCTGATTTTGACAATCACCAGTTTTTCCTCTTTTTTAACTTGAAATTCCACCATTTCTAAGGTGCTATTGAATACGGGTCAGTATAATCAAAGTACTGCTGGCAGAAATATAAAGAGAAGAAATTCAATAGAAAAAACATGATGTTTTTTGTATTCTAAGTATGTACAGCATTCAATAAAGATAATCCAAGCAATATGGGCCAAAGTTGTAAATGAGTTTAAATTCTTGAGTGGTTGTGGGTTTTTTTACAGGGTAGGAGGGAGGGGGAGTGCTGCCTCTTTTATTGTCTTTTATTGTGGTTTATTTTCTATTCTGGTTTTATTTTTTATTATCTAAACATAATGCTGCTTTACAAACTACATCAAAAATACTTTGACAGGTAAGCAATGGTATTAAATATGAGGATGGAGGAAAAAGTGAACAAAGGGAAACTGAAGTCTTGGAACATGTCCTGCAATGTTCAGGACAGAGTTGCTTCTCCTGTCTAGTTTGTACAGACCTCATCAGTACCCTCCCTGAAGACTGAAGGAGCAGGAAGCTCCTCTCAGCCAGTGTCCCTCTATTGCATAGGCTGTGCTGTCCTTACTGCGCAGGACCATGTTGGTCTGAACTCAGAGACCCAACTGGGTGAAAAGATACAGGATAAATGTTTCACACAAGGAACGAGGGCAGAAAGTTGTCTTTTGTGACAAGGCTAATGAAACTCTGATGATAGGAAAAACTCATCATGGTTTAATGAAGAAAGTGACCTGTGAATGAGTGGTGTTCATAGACAATTCCAATTTTGACGCAAGTAAGAAGCAAGAAGCACAGAAGCTTGAAGAAGTGTGAGATAAATAGTGCATTCTTGAATTATTCTGCAAGAATGACACAACAGCATTATACTTGTTTCTGGAACTGAGGAAGCTGTGCTTCATAGAAGGTGGCGTTAATAGAGTCAGGATGGTTGCACTCATCTGCAAATGGATGGAGTTGCCTGTAAGTCTTTGTAGCTGACGTGGAAGAAGGGAAATAGCGATGAGAAATTCTGAAGAGCCAAAGAATAGATATGATTCACAGGAAGAGGATGACAAAATTTAAATGAAAAATTGTTAAAATAGGTGCCAACCAAGACAGCAACTTCTTTAATTTAAAGTATTTATGAAGGTTAAGGCAGTTTACTGTAATAAAAAATAAAGTCCTGCTGTGTCATCAGATTTAGCTGTTCTCTTTGATGTTAGATGTATTTTAAAGGAAACAAATGAAAGTTTGGCCAGAAGCAATTTTTATGTAGATTGAACATTAGTGCTTCCATTATCTCTTGTAATGCCAGATCAAATTGAATCAGTCTGCATTCAAATTTAACTAATGAGCATTGCCAATTTTATCTAGTTCTTTAACTGAAATTATTATATGCTGTTGTGTAAACAATTTTTAGGTACACTTGCTATTAAAAATGCCTATCAGTTTCTGTAGAAGTTCTGAGTCTCTTCACTTTGGCAATTAGACATACAGCTCCTTCACAAATCTCTTTTTTTCTCTTTATTAACAAGGAATTGTACCTACATGCAATGCAGCTGCTCAAGAGGATGCTTTATATTGCCTTGAATTCTACCATTCCTTTAACTACAGTGTTCCCCTTCCCCCTCTCTTATCTTACACAGTTGTTTGAAATGGAACTATGCAGTTATTGCCTGAGGTTTTTCCATGTAAAGGTTTATAGATCTCTTGTAGTGCTGGAGTGTGTGGGTAGAGCTGGAGCTGGTAACCTGTTGCCAGTAGAGGAACATCCTCCACCCCAAAATTATTCTGCCTCCCCTAAAAATGATGCAGTTAAACTCCCTGTTACAGAATGCTGTGCAAATTGCTGATTTTTTTCCCAATTTTTTATTTAGTGAAGTCTCTGTATGGGACCCGGTTCCCCAGGCTGTATCTAGCTAGAACAGAGTGTGTGTCCTCATCTCTGCTCTCCTGAGGTGTTTTATAGAAGCTGATGCCTTTGCAGGTTTCAGGGGAAAGCCAGGCTGAGAAAGCGGTCTGACTCGGGTGATGTCTTCTTGTCCTCCTGGAAGAGAACATTGCAAGGAGGCCACTCTGCCCCATCTTCAAGAAGCCAGTAAATCCAGAATATCAGTAGGTCACAGAGAATTCAGGTATGTTCTTCCAGTTGCTAGCAGAACATGAACCCTTTACCGAGCTGTTCAGTTGCCCTTTCTCCTTCATAGCAAGTACAGATGCCACGGCAATGCCAAGGAGTGCCAAAGTCAGCCCGGTGGCCGAGAGGTGCTTTCAGGTATTTCCCTCTGATAGCACACACTCGGCTCTATTTGTCCACATGTTGCTTTCTTCCTCCTTCTGTCTAATACGAAGACACAAATTTATTTGGGCTCATAGATAGTGTTGATGATGCCCAAGAGCTCTGAGGACTTGGGATGCCTTATTTCTGTTGTGATTTCTGTTGTGAGGAGCAGAAGCCAAATGAACCTTACTGTTTGGAGAACAGGGGGTGTGCCAGCTACTGCGAACAGTGTGATTTTTGTGCTCAATTTCCCTTTGCTCTTTCAAGCTAGGAATGGGACACAATCACTGGCTCTGCCAACGTGCAGTAAGATGTTAAGATGAGACCAGGCTTGTTTGTGGCATGAACTCTGCAGTAGGCTGACCTATATTTTTCAGCACTTCCAAAGCTGCTGTGCAGTCTGCTCTATCCACATCTTTGCGTGTCGGTGGGAGGTTTTTTTTGGGGGGGTGGGGAGAGCTGGGTTTGGAGGAGGATGTTGGGTTTTCTTGGGTTTTGAGTTTTGTTTTTTTTTCCAAATTAACTTACTGCACACCTTTCTTCTAAGGGGGCTTTTTATGAAAAACCTTGCAACTAGATTTAATAGATGCCTAAGCTGGGCTGTTAGGGTGCATCCTAAAAGATCCAGTGAGTATAAGAGCGTAAGATTTTCAGTCTGCATGCGTTACGGACAACTTCAGCACTTCCTGCATCACCTCCTACAGTTACGCTCGCGGGATGTAGCACAACTGTGTGATAGTTGGACTAGTTGAACTATTTAAGTGGCATGCGTGTGTTTATTCAGAAGGATGAGAAAGCTCAAGTATCTTGTAAGTGTTTCAATAGGCAGCTTCTCTCTTGGGGCCTGACTGTTTACAGAACAAATTAGCTTCCTGTGCTTGTTTCCATTTAGCAAACCATACATTGTACGTGTAACAAGTGCTCCAAGAACAGTTAGATTCAAGTCCTTCAGGCTAGAGAGGATTCTTGTTCCATACTCAAGAGGGATCATCTGGGTACTTACACAATTAGGTGCCACAGTTAAGACTCTGTGTGTTTATGTGTGTGGTATTTTTAATTTCTTCTATTTACTTCTTTCAGTTTATTTGTGTCCCTCTCTGATTTTTTTTTTTTTTTAGCTTCGTCCAGTTTCTCTAATAACATATGAACTCAGATGAATTTTGAAAATCATGATTTTTAACATGACTCAAAATGAGGCAAAGACAAATTTACCCAATTCGGCTGTGTAAAAGTAAATATGATGCTATTTAGGTAAAGCATGTGTTATTTCTAATGCATAAATGCACACAAAATATGCTTAATATTTTAAAAAATGGTATTTTACATTACTCGCGTTTCTAAAGCAATAGGCTTTTTTAATTGTTCTTTACTAATTGTATAGCAAATTTCATTGCTATAGATAACCAGTACTTTCTAGCAAATGAGAGCAGGGATT